GACATCTTGATGACATTTAAGGTTTGATCGACGTGAGCTTGCACTTACTTGAACAACCTTGTGGCAATTTCGGCACTTGTAGGATAAAGCTGGTTGGTCAAGTGCCTACAACAATGGTTTTACAGTTAGTATAACATGACTCTGTAGAAAGAGTATTGAAATAAAACCACTTTGAACTCACAATGTTTGCACCATGAGTTGGTGCCTCAAAGTAGCCAAAAGGACAATCATATTCCTTGACCTCAGGCATGTTCCTCTTTCGCTTCCTGATACACAAGTTCTCATCATCAGACTCCTGGGCCAAGTCCACTCCAGGAGGGCCCAATGGTTTCTATGGATCATTGGAAGACATCAGCTTATGTATGATAGACGTGTATGAATCATAATGGAGGTATTGACTTACCTCCTCCGTGACTTGGACCCCTGAGGTTTTGAAATCGTCATTGTCATCGTTCAATGTGACAATGCTTCCTTCGTTAGTAATCACAGTGACCTAAGTATCAAAGGCAAAGGGAAGAATAAAACATTAATCTTTCAAAATGAGAAAAGAAAAAGACTAGAACAAGTTTAAATTGGAATGTACTTACTGCTGAAGAAGGACATGAGACCGTCATTGATCAGCGGCCACGTGCAGGTACTCAAACAACTTTGTCACCCGGTAAGGATGCAGATTGTTCTCGACGTCTGTGCACATGCGCATCTTGGACATCTCTGACCAAGAAGAGATCACCTGATCCAGCAAGGGCTCGTCAAGAGTCCGACAAGGGGGTTATCATACTGGGGCATCGTCTAACTGGTGTTACAATCTGGGACAAACGGCGAGGGGGGGCAGGGTTCTTGTCGGTGTCATAACCGGAGTTCAGAAAGGATTTGATTGTATTTTGCTTATTCAACATGGTAGAAAACGGTTCAGGTGAGAATTGAATTTGGGATTGATAGTGAAATAATGAATGGTTAGGTAGTATGGCTGATGGTTGATTGACTATATTATTGGTTAATCAAACTTGGAAGGTAGATATTGAAGAAATTAAAGGACAGTCAACTACTATAGATGTGATCAATAGGTAAACAAAGTTGAAATGGGGGAACTCACTGCCTTCAATACTATACCTCAAAAAGAGGGTTCCTTTTGGTCATTGGTCCGTCCACGACATAGATTTGGTGGTCTGAGAACGTCAATATGTGATAGATGCAGTCAGTTAATGAGAGATATGAGCGCCAGGGATAAGTCTAGAACCTCCTCGGTGCTCAATCTCAGATTCAAACTTCACAAAGGAAGTCGAGGAGGTGAATCTGAAGGCTTGAACTGTTTGAAATAGTAATTGGAAGGTGGTTCAATGTGATATGATGGGGGGTTGATGATTGGTGGGAAGGTCTTGGAAGCGTAGTGGAAATTAGGAGGAGCCAGGAACATAGGCGGTCAGCGTAGTTCAAGCCAAAGACAGGCTGAAATTGGCAGCGCGAAACGGGGCGCCCGGGGCGTCCCGTGCAAACGCAGCGTGTTGCTCCGCTGCGCGGCGAGCCAGACTTGCTCCAAGGACAAGGTATGTAATCACTATTATAGAGCATTCTTGGGTAGCATGCAAAAGAAGATCAAGGAGAAGTTGAGAAGTAATGCAGATTTGAGAAGGACAAAGGACAGAAGGCACCGGTTGCCAGGGTGGAAGATACTCAAGAAGACAGTTCATATGGTGTTACAAGAGGAGGTAGAATTGGTATTTGAAGAGCTAAGAGGAAAGAAGGAAGTGGAGACAAAGAAGGACCAGGAACTCAAGGAGAAGGTGGTAAAGAATGATACAGAGAGAACAGTACGGAATGTGAGGTGTGTCAAAGTGCCCCATCACATTTCAAAAATCAAAATTTCAGAATCCTCGGGTCAGAAACTGCACAAAACAGATTAACATTGGATTTAACCCAAATACTGGTCAGACAGTACCTGTATTGCGGTTCAAACAATGTTTTCTGCCACTTTTCACAACTTTCGGAACCACAACTCTGAAATTCACCGCTCGGTTGGCACTTTGGCACAGTTATTACATGGAAATGCCAAAAATCAAATTTTGTGTTTACAAAATTCACAAATTCAAAAAACATAAAACACAAACCTATTCTGTCCCACAAGTCAATCGTAGTAATGTCAAACTCCTGTTTCCATTGCATTGGAAGACACATAACCTATTCATAATTTCAAAAACTCATCACCCACAGCTGACATTCACACTTCAACTTGGACTGTCATTTTGACACAAGTTACCTAATCAATTATTCATTGCCAAATCTTTCACCCTTATCTTCAATCCATCTCATCATGCCTGGCCAAATAGAACTCCCCGATGCCAATTTACACCCTATCCTCCAGCAAGCTCATGACAACAAATGAACGGCACAATCAGCCTCAGACAACATCTGGCAAACACACCAAATCAAGATCAGTGTTTGAACCATCTGCCAACGCATTGAGGCATGGGGATTAAAACACCAAGTTTAGTATGATGAAGACACTGTGAAGCAAGCTGTGTTAGACGAGCACAGCAAAAGTTATAATCAAAAACAAACCTCTTTTGATGAAAAACAAAAACAAAATCCACATCGGCCGCTCCACCTTAGCTCACCACGAGAAGACACTTCAGATTCATTGGAAAGGAGATGATCTTGATCTCAACAAAATTACTTATGATGAGCTTGTGCAATGAATAAATCAAATGGAGGAAGAATTTGGTCATGTTCTTGGTATCAAGAGTATCAAGAGAAAGCTCATGGCAGATCATAACCTTTGTATTCATCGGTAATTAATCTATGACTACATCTGTTGGATGATCATGTCTGCTGAATTTTCTGGACCTTTGATTTCTCTTCAACTTTCCGCTTTATTCTAGTGATGTTATCCCTGCTATTTTGAAAGTCATCAATCCTGACATGGTCAAAGTCAGAGCGGCTCACAAACTGAAAAGGCAACAATATTATGCAGGTGGTCCTAACCAGGTTTGGGCATGTGTGGGACATGATAAATTTATGACTTATGGAATTGGAATCTATGGCTTCATTGACTGTTGGTCTTGGAAACTGTTAGGTCTCCATGCTCATATTACCAACAGTGACCCTCAACATGTCGATTTATGGTATCTTGAACGTGTCAAGAAACACAGTGGCATCCCTCAAAAACTCACCACTGACCAAGGTACTGAGACCATTGACCTTGCTGGCCATCAAATGTACTTTGGACAGCAATACGGCACTCAAACCCCCGGTTTCCAGTACCATAGATATGTTCCCTCTACTAGTAATACTAAGATTGAATCTGCTAGGTAGAAGATGCAAAATTCAGTCACTGGTCACTTGAAAGATGAGATTTCTCAAAGGATTGCTGACGGTGATTATGATTCTAATGATCCAATGCAAAGGTGAGATTATCTATGAATTTTGTCAAGTGTCTCTTGTACTAACCCATTGTCTTCTAGACTCTGGTTCCTGCAGCTCTACATTCCTGCCATCCAGGAAGCTTTAGACACTTACACCAACCACACAAATAATTTTCAACGGTGTAACGATAACCACTCTAGGTTGCCAGCTGGATGCAGTGCTAACTATTGCTACTACAGCCCAGCAGATGAGTTTAATGGTGTAGATTTCTTGATTGACGTTCCCGGAGTTAGAGTTGAACAGATCATTGAGGAGGATTATCCAGACCAAGAACAATTGTGGACTAGGACACCTGAGTGGTTTGCGGGTGTAGTCAATGAAGTCATGTCAGACATGCAGTTTGATCATTCAGAATTAAGAACAACTAATGTTTGGGAAGTTTTTACTTTTGTATTAGGGAGGTTGAGGGAGTACGACTGGACTGGTACTCCTTTTGCACCACAGATAGGTGTGTCAGATGCAGTACTTACTTAGTATTTAAAATAAAATAATTATGACCTTGTGAGTATGGAGTTTATTTGTTGTGACTAGCATACTGTGCTGCTCATTGGCTTTTAATCCTACTCTAAACTGATTCTAGTAATATTGAGCTTGGAAAATTCAATTACACAAATTTCAAGCTTACAAAACAGAATGTGTGTATTGATTTATGACAAACAATTTACAAAGGCTGTCATGTGTATCTGTTAGGGACAAGAGAAAGACACAAGAGAGAAATTTACAAGAAGATTTATCTTCATCAAGTCAAGAAATAACATCTTCCAATATCTACTCTTATTGTAGCATCCGTTGGGATCTCCATCATCTTCTACATTACCCTTTTGAAACTCCTGCACTTTGAGTGCAGAACACTCCTCCAGTTCCTCACTAGGGACTGATAATGTAATCACTCTCTTTGCAAGTGCAGCTTCCCTTTTCTGAACCTGAATCCAGTGTTTTATGGGGGTTAGGGCTACCATGACCAGAGCTGTGTGCTGAGCAAGTGGTTATATGACTTACATTGTAGAGATGCTGCTCAATGGATTGTCCCGTTACCACATGAAAGGCTCTTACAGGCATAGTCTGACCAATGCGGTACAGGCGGTCCACTGCTTGTTGCACTACCTGGGGGTTCCAATGGGCATCCTGAAAATTCACAACTGCTCCATCAGTTTGCCCAGCACACAAGTAGGAAAGTGGCTTACCATTGAATAAACCTCATCAGCACATGTCATATTCAACCCTACACCACCAGCTTCTATCAAGACTACAAATGCCTCAACCATTGGATCCCTTGTGAAGGTATTGAGCTGACAAGTCCTCTCAAAGGTAGACATATTACCATGCAGCTGATAGAATCTGATTCAGGAGGCCTCAAATGCCATGATGATCCTGTAAGGAAATTAAGTTATTTGAAGAATTGATGGACATATTATTTGTATGCAGCAGCTCACCAATCAATGAAAGACTTCCACTGAGTATATATAATACTCTTGCCCCTGCCATTAGATTTTTTTCTGCAGCTTGTGAACCAAGTATTCAAGTTTTTTGCCAAGTTTCCAGTCAGTCAAAAGTGCATCCCGTACATTGATGTCATGGATTCTTTCATGCGGTAATTTTATACCCAGCCTTTCCTCCATTGCATTGATTGGTTGATCATTTTGGACTACACCCTTGAAAGTTTTTCTGGATAGAAGGGGATGGTTGCAAGCCATTCTGAGATTGGTGAGTTGCTTGAAAAATTTGCCTCTGTCAAACTTCTGTTGCCTTTCAACCCCAAATTGACTTAGAAAACTTTGATAGTGAGTTTGATAAATGTCTTTAACCTCTGGTTGCATATCTAAAACAATTGTTGTGTGATTAATGGGCGGTAAATCAAAAAGGTGACTGTCCTTGATTCTCCTGAGTATAATATATCTTAAAAGTTGAGAGATTGGGCCTAAATTTCCCCGCTGAACCGGCTGAGCAATATTTGTATCCCAGACTGAATCCTTGTCAAATGGTTTTATATGTAGAAATTTGAGCATCATGTGAAGGTAGGCCCTCGCCCCTGTCGTTCCCCGGTGTAGGGGACGGGGACAGGGATCATTCCCCGATTATAGGGGGCGGGGATCATTCCCCTACCCCTAATTGTCTTTGGGGATCAATTCCCCTACCCCTAATTGTTTTTGGGGAACTAGACCGGTATTTTCGGGGAACAGCGCAAAACAAAAAAACAAACAAGGCAACAAAAGACCTTCACCAATCGATACATTACCTCAAACCCTCAAGTTCAACTTACAAATTCTTAATCTGTTTGTTCAACATGGGAGTGACTCAAGATCACACCCTCATAACTAGATCACATCCTCATAACTCATCAAATCTCAACAAACATTCTAAAAGTCCTAAAACTCTTCTCAAAGTGTCACTGTTCTCAAAGGTCTTCTTACTTCAATTTTTGTAATCAATCACATGCTAAACATCTCAATCATGCTCTGTGAAGTTTTGTTTATTGTGTATATTTTACTTTCTTCAACTGCAATGAAAGTATAAAGTAATATAATACAATATCTGTTTTTCCAAAACCTGCTCAATTTGTCACAACATATAACAAAAGTGAATGTTGAAAGAAGTTCATATAAGATATTCCAACAGTCGTAACCCTGTTCTCAAAGTGACATCATACTTCAACTTTTTAAATTGATCCCATGCTTTTGATTCAGGCGTTTCAGTTCTCGATTCCATCTTTCTGACCAAAAACAAAGCTCGTAAAACCATTTAACTTGAAGAGTTTATTGTCTCATTTGATCATAAGATTTTAAGATCGTCTTTTGTCTCATTTTGGTGCTGTTGGTTTGATTTTGAATTAGAAAAAGAAGTTTTATCGTTCATCAAAGAATTAGATGAATCTTGAATTAATTCATGATTGATTGAAATTGAAGTAAATTGAAATGGAGATGAGGTTGGTAAAGAACAACATAAAATTTATGGTGATGACTGTAAATAGTAAATCGACTGTGATTAGTGTTAAGTTATTCAAATTTGGGTGAGAAATGAAAGTACTTACTTGAATAGTTTTACTATACATTTCTTTTGCCCATATCTTGTTAGTTGTTATATTGTTGTTTTTGTATTTTTTTGTGAAGTCGGCCGTTTGAAAAATAGGAGATTGACGTACAACACCCTCTCTTTGACTCTTCGAGACACTGGGGATACCGGGGATCCCCGGTGTTCCCTGCTCCCATTCCCCAAAATTAGGGGTAGGGGAATGATCCCCGTCCCACGGGGGTTTCACTTTGGGGATCCTCAAAGCTCCGGGGACGGGGCCAGGGCCTATGTGAAGGTCTCCAAGTTGTTTGTGCAGTGGTGTTCCAGTTACACACTATTGATTGACTGCTTGCAAAGTAGTTACACATTGATGGGAAAAAATTTCATTCTGAATGATACTAGGAAAAGGAGTATTTCAGCAAGGGTAGAGGAGCTTGATCAGTGAGAAAAGATACTTACTGGGCTTCATCTATTACAATCCTGTACCATTTAGTGTTGTATATAAGACTGGCTGCATCATCATGCTGCAGAGTGCCTAATGTTATAATGATGATATTGGCAGAATGCCATTCTTTGTCACTTGTACAAGTAGACCTTTTTGTATCATGCCAGCGCATTAACTTGAGTCCCCTAGTATGAACCTCTATTTCACGCTCCCAATTGTCCATTAGCCCCTTGAGACAAATTAGCAGAGTAGTATGAGAGCCTCTCAGTTGACTGTTGGGATTTTGTATATTATAACTATTTTTGTAGGTTTTTGCTGCATCCAGAGTATGTGCAATTAAAGCTATAGTCTGAATTGATTTGCCAAGTCCCATGTCATTGGCGAGTATCAAAGCTCCAGGACTGGCAGGAGCTGGTTGTTGATCAGTTGCAATAAATGACTCCCCACACAGAAGGTTGGTCCAGACGGTGAAGTGAGCACTACTCTTGGACGTCCATAAAGAGGTGAATGCAGCATTGTGTGGATCCCCTCGATCAAGTAAGAATCCAAGGCCCTGCTGCTGGTGTCTTCTGAGCTGGGAGGTTACTGCTTTGACTTGATTCACAGGTGTCAGATCAGATCCACTAGGAATAGCTTTCAGCTTGGCAAGATCTTCAGCTGAAATATGGATTAAGGTGGGGTAAGCTGCTTTCCATTTGGGCATCCGTGAGTGTCTTAGAGGTGCTAGGCTGATGTGAAAGTGATCCTGAGGATTGTATGACTGAGGAGTTTCAATGCTGATGTGATACTGTTCCACTATATGCTTGAAAGGCTCTTGTTCCCATTGTTTGATGAAGATTAAGGTGGTTACTTCCAAGTGTATATTTCCAGATTCATTGACAGTTGTTACAGAGCTGCAGAGAAAGGTTGATCGTTCATGATGAGGCAAAAATTGAGGATTCCATCCACCCGCAGGCTTAGATTTATATAATCCTGGTTGATGGCCTAGGAGATCAAGAAGAAGGAGTTGTAGGTGAGGTGGTAGAAAACCTACACACTTCCCATGTGGGGACAAATCTTATTTGTGGATAGGGTGCATCTTGCTCGGGGACACATATGTGAATTGTTGAATGATATAGATGATTCAATTCCGTGGCAACAGAGGTCAAGGATGCCAACTTGAAGATGAGTAACCCAGTGCAGAGAAGGTGAGGTGATCTGTTTGTGGTAATCATATCATAAGAATGGATATTATGATCATAATGAATGATTGATGAAAGCAATAATTCCAAGGTGGGAGCAAGGAGCAATGAAATGAGGGGGGCCTACATATATATTCAAGTTCACCAAGACTCTGTTGGGTTCCTGACGTGCATGAGGAACTCATCTGAGTCCCCTTATCTCCTGCAGAGATAAAGGGGCCCAGGCGGGGCTCCTGTGAGGATAAATGTTGCAGTGATTTGCATAGATAAGCTTGAAAATCTCACGTCCATGCTAAGACACTGCAGATATGCGCCGCATATCCAGATCAGCACAGTTGTCCCCACTTTGGTTTGGCAGTGCACATGTGAAACATGCATAGCCCTTCGAACACTAAGTTATCATCTGTTGAAGAAACATATGTTTATATTTATATATGATTTGGTAACACTTCATTGAAACATTTAGATTATATTTATGTAATTATTTGATGATCAATGAATTACATATATATAATAATATGAATTGGTTTTCAATTAAGAGATACTTATATGTAATGATATTCAGAATTTCATTCCATATATATATTGGGAAAAAGACGGATTTAATTGATTATGAATACATAATATTTTTTTGCCACCAGTCACCTTGTTGCCACAGTTGATCACCCAGTGATCGACTGTGGCAACAAGGTAACAGACCACCTAGGTAGTTAGCTGGTCTGTCTATTAAGCTTCAACCACCTAGACTGGTAGGTGGTTGGAATTGATTAGGCCTCAGTCAAATCGCAAAGTGGTCGACTGAGGCAAGAAGTAGACAGATAGGAGTCTATGTGGTCAAACTTCAATAGACAGACCACCTAGCCTGCTAGGTGGTCTGTCTCCTTATTGCCTCAGTCAATCACCGAGTGATTGACTGAGGCAAACAGCCAGCTGGCTAGCTGGCTATCTACCTAGGTAGCCAGCTAGCTACCCACCTACCTAGCTAGCTAGGTGCACACCCAGCTACCTACCAGCTGCCTAGCTAGCTAGGTAGCTGCCACAATCAATCACTGGGTGATTGACTGTGGCAATAGGACACCTAGCACCTAGCGGGCTAGGTGGTTGTATAGAACCACCATAACACAGGTGGTTCACGCGTCCATGATAGCTTGCGGCGGATTGTGAAAGGTGAGCGTGTGACACTCGGCAAAATATTGGAAGGCAAGACGCCTTCCAAATTTACCGCGCAGAGTTTTTCACCACCTGCTCACATCACCTCTTTCAGATACATGATCATCGCAAGCTCTCACCGCTTTCACAACAAGTGAAAGGTTTTTTGTGCACCACCCACCCACCCGACGTGCACATCTGAACATTTTACCCACCAACCCTGAGGCCATCAGCCCCGGATCCTTTGGTTCATGCAAACCAGAGTTTGGTTTCAGCAAACCGATGGGCCCCGGGCCGGGGCTTTCACCCCCCGTACCATGCTCGCCTGACTCCATGTAAGGCGAGCATAACATGGGTGATGTTCACTATACCTACAAGCACAGCCCCCAATCACAAGTGACTGGCAGCCCAGTACATCCGATGACCTCAATATGTTCTTAATTTGTTTTTAGTTTTTTTTTAAGATGTTTTCAATATGTTGTGTACCATGTCTCAACCAGTTATCATAGAGATCTTCTCCAGTCATCATACAAATGCTGATCAGTCACTGGCAAGATCTCAACTGAGTGTTGAACAAGTGTTTGACAGCTATAGAAGCTCCACATCCATAACTTGCACATTCCTTTCAAGAGTGATTGAATGATCAGAGTAGCTCTAGCATGTCAGGCCAAGGTGACACCCTTGATGGAAACACCCAGTTTGCTTTTGGATAATTTAACTGACAGCCAACTTGCTGCACAAAAAACAGAAATCAGTGGATGTCTCCATTTCAACATCTGACCTATCAAGATCGTTGTCCCATGACTAGAACAGCAGGGCAAGTCTTTACTTAAACCGCGATCACACCATTCGCACGAAGCTAGATCCGCAGCACCGTCGGACCTTCATAACTTCCCATCGTCTTCAGGTGGATCTGACCGCACAATCAAAGGGAAGAAGCGTGCAAGAGTGGAACGATCTCCAACACCCCCACCACCTGTACCTGCTATTGTTCCATCAGTCACCCCCTATGAACTGGATTTGCTTCAGCACTGCCTTGAACATGCCATTGCCCCCTCTTGGACCACTCGACCCAAGCCTAACTTTGGAATGGCCAGTGCTGGTACCCCCAAAGCAGCAGACTGGCAATATCTATTCAAAGTCTATATAGTACTTGCTTGGGTACCACATTTCAGCTCTGGAGAGGCTGGAGACACCTCTTCCAAAATACTTGACTGCCTCTTGCAGCTCATTCAAATTGGTAACATATGTACTTTGCGATCTTTCAAAAGTGGTGACGGAGAAAAGCTCACGGAGTTGGTTGAAAAGCACCAAGCAAGCCTTGGGGATGGATGGCCCCATATGATGAAAAAGCCCAATTTGCATTTTGCTGAACACATAGGCTCCATTTCAACACTTCTTGGGCCGCCTGCTTATATGGCTAGCTGGGCAGGTGAGCGGATCATTGGTAGCCTAGTTGCAGCACGTAAAAATGGCAAGAAGGGTATGTCTTTATCTCCAATTTGGGCATATAAACACTCAGCTGAAGTCCTTTTTCCATGACTAGAACAGCAGGGCGAGTCGTTACTTCAGCACTATTCCAGACGTAGCTTCTTCCAAGCCATGATCAATAACAATCACACCGCCTTTGAGAATGATTCTATTATTGGGGAATACCTCTTAAGAAAGCGTCAGACATCGTGGAAAGAAAGACAACTCAGTCCTATTGCCTTTGAGACCCTTCGAAAAAATGGTCATATAGGGGCAGAGTACACTGCACGCTCAAAATTTGATGTGACCACAAGGATCCTCATTTTGAACAAGCCACATAGCACTTACAAGAAGACACCTGGAAATAGCTACATCTCATATTTCCACGACTCGTGTAAAAGGAAAGGCTGTATCACGGATATTATCAAGCTTCCCAATTCTGAACATCCACTCCTTGTTGTCAATTCATTGATACCTCTTTCCGATGATGACAAATGCAAAAGTCCGTACTATTCTTTGCCAGACTTTCTAAATGCCTCAGTGCTATATGACAAGCATGGAGGATATCATGTCATTGAGTGCAACAAGGTCATTGGGCAGCTAGTTGTCATCAAGAATGAAAAAGGGACTTTTGAAATTCAAAGCAAAACACTCTCAACAGTTGAATTGATGAATCTGGTGAGTTTTGAATTGATTGGGATTTTTGCTTTTGACTGACTTTGGTGGTTTGACCAGGGATTTGTGCAAGGCAAAGATGAGGATGATAGCATGGATATGGATGGATGATTGCCGCTGAACGGTCATAGGATGATGTAAATGGTCTGACCCAGGGTATCCGTTCTGTTTGAACACTCTTGATTTGTAGATGATGCCAATTTGTATCTATGATTTTGAGAGGCATTATATCTGGACTTCACCTGTGCTGCTGGAAAGGATGCATATGGGGAATTGATTATGTCAGCTCATTATGACTCATATATATATTCAAGATCAGGTTAACCACTTGTGGAGATCTGGTCCATGCCTAGTCAAGAACATTACAATGACCAGTCAAGATATATGTGATAACTGGTCAAGCAAAAACTCGTCAAAGACTGTGCAATGTTAGTTCAACAACCTATTCAAAACAAATTGAAAACAAATTAAAAACTTGTTGAGGTCGCCGGGATGTACTGGGCTGCCAGTCACTTGTGATTGGGGGCTGTGAAGGTATGAGTTAGTACTGTTTGCCAAGAAGGCAAAAGTACAACACACCCTCACATCCAGAGCTCTCCACAA